TGGCAGGTTGGAATCCGGCCTGGGCCCACCAAACGACAATGACAGCTGCAACCAAAAAATAGCGGGGCGTTGTGGTGGGCGCCTGTGGTCCCAGCTACTTGGGAGGCGGAGGCAGGAGACTTACTTGAGCCCAGGAGTTGGAGGTTGCTGTGAGCTGTGATGCCACAGCACTCTACCCAGCGCGATAGCGTGAGGCTCTGTCTCAAGAAAAAAAAAAAAAAGAAAAAGAATGGTCTTTCCTGGGACCTCCACTGCGTAGGACATGCAAAGAATCCCTGACTGCTCCCCAAGGTCCTTTGATGGAGGAGCAGTGGTGAGCACCCATTGTGCAGAGGAGGCAGCTAAGGCCTCAAAGCAGAAGCCATGTGCCCAGAGGGACAGGCTGTGCAGCTCTGTGCTGTGTCCCTGCCTCTGTTCATCACGATGCTTCTCTCCTGTTTATTCTGGGTCTGTGCATCTCAATCTCTCTTTCTCCCTCCAGCCTGTAACTCTGGCCACCACGTGTTCCTGTCCCACTTCTCTCCTTCACATCGCTCTTTTCCTTCTTCTTAGCCTGCTGCCATCCTGGCTCGACACCTAAGCTCAGTGGTTAGGGCGCCGGCCACATGCACTGGGGCTGGTGGGCTTGAACCTGGTGCAGGCCTGCTAAACAACAATGACAACTACAACAAAAAACTAGCCAGGTGTTGTGGTGGGTGCCTGTAGTCCCAGCTACTTGGAAGGCTGAGGCAAGAGAATCACTTAAGCCCAAGAGTTTGAGGTTGCTGTGAGCCGTGACACCACAGCACTCTACTGAGGGCGACATAGTGAGACTCTGTCTCAAAAAAAAAAAAAAGACTGCTGCCATCCTCCCACCAAGTTTGTAGGTTGGTGAGGGTGGCTCTGGGGTGGGGTGTCCTAGCACCTCATCACCAGCTAGACCAAAAAAAAGAACAGGGTGTTGGCCCTCCCTCCAGCTCCAATGCTGCCCCCTTAGCACCAAGACTCTGGAATAGGAATCAGGGTTGAGGAATTGGGATTGTGGGTGTGGGGGCGGGGCTCAGAGATATTTCTGGAAGGTAGAGATGGTGTGGGAGCTGAGCAGCCTCCTGGACCTTTTTCACCCCCACTGCCCCACCCTTGCCCCACATAGCAGGTGGCAGAGAGGCCAGGTTGAAGCAAGCTGCCCATGGAAAGTTTGGGTGGAGGTGAGCAGACTCGGAGCCCCATCCGCTGCCCTGTCCAGAGTTGGGCCTCCCAGGCTCTCAGCCCTCTGCATACACCTCAGCGGTAACCAGAGCAAGATCTCAGAGAGGGAGGCTGGCCAGCTGCATTCAGTGGGGACTGCAAACTCCCCAATTTGCAGAGGACAGATCTGAGGCTCTGAGCCAAGGCCACACCGAAAAGGAAGGGGCCAAGCCCTGGGCTCCAGCTAACATCTCTTTGCCAAGGGTATGTCACAGGACCTGAGAGAAGACAACAGGATTCCAGGTTATGACAACAACACCTTGGATCAACAATCAGTTCCCGTGAACTGGCGGCTCCATTATTCTAACTTTGTTCCCATGATAAAGGATACTCGCCTTACAGTTCTTGTTGCCTCATTCTGAATATCGCTATTGTTTCCCAAGGACTCATGTTCCTACTTATTTCTTTAGTGTGGCTGGATGTGAGTTCACAGGCGGGCAAGTCCCAGCCTGCCTGTGGCAATTGGCCAAAAGTTTCATTCACTCTACTATCAGCCTAAAAGCCTGAAAAGAGGCCTTACTAATAACTAAGTAAAGAGGCTTTACTAATAGAGGAAAATAAACTATCAAACAGAAAGCAAGAGAAATAAATTCACAGCACATAACAGACCCTTTGGAGAGAAAACTCACAGCACCACTGGTTCGTTTATTTTGTTTAATTAGAACACCTGTAGGCTAACTTGGTCTCTCTCAGAATTTCCTTTACTCAGCCTTGAAGAGCTGAGCGGACAGTAGGGATGCGAGCTCCCTGCTCCAGGGGGCTACCTCAGTTTCTCCCAAAACCACATCCCAATGACAGACCTGCCTCCAGGGGAAAGAGAAATGGAGAACCCAGCTCCCTGCCACCTGGCAGCCACTCCTATTACCAGTTCACAGCAACATGACAAAACTGTTCTAACTTTTTAAATGTCACAGCAGGTTTTTCTCAAACTCCCTGCATGTCTTTCGTCTTTCTTCTTGCTCTGCCGTTTTCTTCTCCCTTTCTCTCTTTCTGTTTTTCTATTTCTCCTTCTCGAGAAAGTAAATCAACATTTTTCATCTTTATATCCTAATGTTTGCGTAAGAAATGTTTCTTTGTCCTCGTATGAATTTCCCACCCTTTCAAAACCTGGTTCCTGTAACTAGGACCTGCTTCATCCTGGATGGATTCTTGTTCCTTTATGTTGATTATCTTTCTTATCGATTGCGAAATAATATTTTTATGA